TAAGAGTAATATCTGTTATGAAAAATACAATTAAGATATACAAGTATTCAAATGTATTTTTCCATCTATTCTCTGAGTGAAATATTGCTTTCTGATATATTTTTATATAAATAACATTATCTCTGAGTTGCCTGACCCTAAAACAATTCAGGATATTTGTTTTTCTTCGATGGCGATAAACAACACCAACACAAAAACACAGAAAAAATAAAATAGACGTTTGTTTAGTTGGGCCGGATTATGCCAATTTTCGATGTCTTTAGAAATTTCCAAGAGACTTGGCATGATTTAATTTAGTTTCACAGTCTTTTCTATTTTTTCACTCGCATTTGTTCCGCTTCATCCCTAATACTTTTGTCGACACGTTTCTCATTTTCCTTTCTTTCCTATTTCGCTTTTTACAGATTGCCAATCCTTATTCTTTTCTTTGTTTTTTTTTTTTTCGCGTTTCTCATTCCGCAAGATTTCTTCTTTGCCTTTTCCCATTTCGCCTCCTTATTCGAATGCTGCAGAGGTAGAATTCCAACTGAGTTTGATACATTCAATTTCGCCCAGCTGTACACTGGATAAAGCTATGAATCGTTGTGTCCCCTTATCTCTTGATTAAATAGCAGAGTAGACTGTGCTCTAAAATCATGACTGGAAAGGGCAACACGGAATTAAAAACAGAGGTACCCTACAAAGGGTACTCGGACATTTGGCCGACAGACATTTAACCGAATGGACATTTAGCCGAAAATGTCGTGGCGTACTTATATGTATATCTCACTCTTTATCGCAATGTGCTACATATATTTATATTTATTGACTGTATTAATTTATAATTTTTCGTTATTTTTTTTGACAGGCTTTAATTTTAATCTATGTTGTATATATTATATTTTACTTCAAGTAAGATGATAAGTATTTCGAGAAAAAATCACATTTTACTACAGTAAAAATATTAAGCTTTTACGATATGAAAGATCTTTCAATTTGGTTTTTAATGATCATTATCTTAACGGGACGAACTAGCTTTTATCTTACTGTTAAATACGAATTTAAATAGGTGCTACGTTTACCCAAATGCACTCAAATATTTTTTTAAAATACTAATTTCAATAAACAAATATTAAAATAAGAAAACTTTTAACTTTAAATATAGATTTAGTAATTTAATCACTTGACATTCAGTGTTAATTATTATTCTCTTTTATAATACTGCTAATTAAAATACTTAAAGTATTGCCTGTTACTATTTTTACTTGTACTTTTTCGATCCAAATGCCTGTCGTCCAAATGCCCGTCGGTCAAATGCCCGTCGGTCAAATGCCCGTCGGTCAAATGCCCGTCGACCAAATGCCAGTCGGTCAAATGCCCGTCTGTCAAATGCCAGTCGGTCAAATGCCCGTCGGCTAAATGCCTGTCCGTCAAATGCCCGTCGTCCAAATGCCCGTCGGTCAAATGCCCATCCGTCCAATGCCCGTCGGTCAAATGCCCGTCGGTCAAATGCCCGTCGGTCAAATGCCCGTCAACCAAATGCCAGTCGGTCAAATGTCGGTATAAAGATGGTTAGACATAATATGTAGATACAATGACTGTGAAACTAAAAACAAGATAAATTTCAGCAATAATCGTTAATCTGTTACTTGTATAGATGCTGTTGATACCAATGAGCACTTGGTCCAACGAAGGCGTTATGCCATGTTCTTTATTGTCTTTTTCCGTTTGTTCTTTTCGAAGCAATCCTCATTTTTCTTTTCAGTTTCCCATTCTCTGCTCCTACCTCATTTCTGTGTCTGGATGTCATTCTTTAAGAGTTAATGCTTGGTCCTCTCCTGCATTCCATAACTTACCCTTTCATTTTTTGCTGCTCTCCGATCTGATTCTTAATCCTTAGACACAGTCTTCCCGTTTCTTACACTCAATAATTTATCAATTTCGTTCTGCTTTTTCTCGTTCTTTTTTTCCTTCCTCTTTGGCTTTCTCCATTTCAATTTCACTTTCATTAAATCTTGTCTTTTCCAAGCACCCCTTTCCTACCCTTTCTATTTCGCTGCTTGTCTGCTGTTCCCCATTTCATTTCTCTTGTCTTTACACATATAACATTGTTTCTTATATTTTAATTTTTCTCAATCCTTTTCTGCGCCTCATTCTCATTGCTTTCTCCTTATTTTTACCTTTCCTTTCTCTTTCCTTTAACCTTTTCCCCTTTTCTCATTCTCTACCTATTCCTTTTTATCGTCCCCTGTATATTAATCTCTGTTTCTTTCTTGTCTTTCTACCTTTCTCTTCCATTAAATGCTTAATTTTCCCTTTTTCATTCTCTCTGGTTCCTCTTTATCGTTTCCTATTCCTCGCTCTCTCTTCCATTCTCTTTTCTTTTCTACCTTTCTTTTTCCCTTTCCTTAAACGTCCAGTCTTCACTTTTCTCAGTCGCACTGCTTCCAAGTTCTTGTTTGCTAACTGTGATTCACTATTTCTTTCTCCTTGTCTAAAAAACACTATTAAACTATTATAACAGGAGCGTCCCGGCTCGACCCTGGCTTGTTCCCAAGCTGGTCAGTACTGCCGCCAGGCAACTGATGATTATCAGCTTTCCGTTTCGTTCCTTCATCTGCTTCTTCCCCACGTTGTGTTTGTTGATCACAGAACAGTGAAAATCGAATATCGTCAATTCTTGAGCGCTACCGTTGCGAAACCGTGCTACAAAAGAACAAAGAACGCTCCACTGGCGAAAAATAAAAATAACATAACAAAATAATGAAGAAGGTTGCCGGGTTCATTTTCAGTTGGTCTATATAGTTTTTGATATAAGGAAATTAACTCTTCCTGCCAAAGGCTATATCATGACAATTTTTATTTTTCTTCTAAAATTTGGATTGATTAAAAACAACAACACAAATTCGGGAATTCTCTCGGCAGCAGGTCACATGGTTTCTTCCTCGTTATGTGGCTTTTCCTGCATTCTGCCGACTTCTGGTGCCTTCTCCTCGCTTCTGGCACATTCTACTCTCTGGTTGCCTAAACGTTCGTTTATATATATTTCGCCCGATTCCTACCGTACCTCAAGACTCATTATTATTCATATCAATCGATAAATTATCTCTCCAATTTTGGAAAACCGATGTTGACAAAAAAAGCGGCCGCAGTCAGTCATTCATTCAAAACAATACATTCTTCGACAACAAACTTTGTGCTTATGAATTCTTTTGAGTTATATTTTACATTTCTGAAACCATATTTTTGACCCATGATTCATTCGGCGTTTCTGGTTATCAGAAAAAAAAATTTTTCCTTTTTTTTACCTTGCTTCATATTTCAAATCATGTTTTCACTTTAACGCTTTTAACACTTCCGATTCTCCAATTAATATATAGGGTTTTCCCAGGAACCCTTTTAATCCTAATTTCTTACTAGCTGTGTTACGATAGCGTTACACTATTATCCATTGACCAACAGCACATACACCACATAATGGACGGAAGAAGCCTAATATATAGGTATATATCACTTAACCAAAAAATAAGCAAACACACCGCTAAATATAAAAATCTAAAAAACCTCCAACATAACCAACAACAATGATACTATTTTTTTAATCCTTTCACCAAAGCAAGGCAATAAAGACTATAAGACGCAAATGAGTTACTGAGTGTGGAAAAATATGAAAAAAAGAAAAGAAAAAGAAATGTAATTAAGAATGCAGCAGATCAAAGTTTGCAGGAAAACAAGAAGCTGAATGAAAGTTCCACAAGCGGGAAATGCGACAGAAGGAACTGTCAGCATAGAACTTACGGTTATATAACGGCGTGAATTGAAAAGAGGATCTCAGGGATTCTGAAGCGTCGATATGATTCACACACCCTGGTTTGCGACTGGTTAATACCACCTGCGGAGGGACGCTGAGCCAACGTATGACATGCGTTCCTGTGACGTCAATCCACCTACTACCTCTTAGAATCCAAACAGCGACTATTAATAAAACGAATACCAAAAATAAATGACGCTATTGTTGATATTGTTTTCGTAGTAGCGTGGTGATACCGAGATCACACAAAACCCAGCAGTAGATGTGTTAGCAATGCTCAGTGTATTAACGAATGACGAACATGTCAGAATAAAGGACTCTACACTACTGAAATGTATATGAATACCACAGATTTTGGAGAAAAGAAGTTTAATGGGGGTTGCTAATTGTTTTGGTTATTGGTTCACTCGTATTTCTTTTAATTTTAACTGTCATGTAAATATGTTTAATTGTTAAGGTGAAAAAGGCCCCAAAATTATCACTGTCTATCGTCTATGGCAATACAAACCGATAGGAAGGTTTGTATATTCATCGAAAAATGAAAAGTTTTCACATCGGAGAATGTTCTTGAATTATAATTAAAACAACGCAAAGATTAATGTGCGATTTACCTGACAGAAGTTCAGTATCGCACATCACATGTAAAAACAACAAATGCTCGTAACCCGACAAATTCCTACGAAAAATACAAAAATACTATACCCCATAGAATATTAGAAAACTATTACAAATACTAGAAGCGTTAATCCTAAAAAACAAATAAACCAACATAAAATATCAAATTAACGAAAAATACACAAGATATATTTCGTAAATAAATAAACGACCCGATAATACGAACTGTCAATGAAATTTAACTCTTTGATATTAGTTTTGAATGCCAAAAGTGCTTACATATTAGAAATCTGGAAAATGGAAAAACCCGAGGAAATCATGTTTGTTCACAGTTTGCGACATTAAGAAACTTGTTTTACTTTTTGGAATTTTTTTTTCCAGTGACTTGTTCTTAATCTCAAACTTGAAAAGTAGATTCTCCCCATTCCGTTAATCCCCTTTTGACGTATTTTATGAGCGTTCATTTCACATTTCCTAATCATGTGTTTGTTATTATTTATAACAATTTCTTTGGATTCCATATTCTCCCTAAATCTTCTTTATTTGGTTCTTGCTATGTCATTGTCGTCACAAAACTCTTCAATCGAACCACATGATCGTTTTATTCCATTTTCATTTCTGCTGAAATTGTTCAGTATTTGACGTTCTTGAATTTGTTTCTAATGCTATTTTTCATATACAGGTTCTCCTCAAAATGCAATCCCATTGTGTAGGAAGAAATTTGCTCTGCCTAAAATTCACTATGCACCGCTCCCAAAAGTAACCTATAAGATGCGTTTAACTCCATTCCTCCTTATATAAGAACTGTTTTGGATGTCACAGATTGCTTATTCAGGAAGTGGCCAGTGTTGGTTTCAACAATACGCATATATTCGCTTTCGCAAAAATTACCTTGGAAAAGTACGAATTCATCTCTGCTATCACCAACTAGAGGTTAATAGTCTGGTCTCTCTCTAGCTTTGGTTGATAAACAACTCTGAATCCAAAGCTTGTTTGAGGGCATGCCAAATCTACCATGTAAAAAATCTAATGACAAGGAATCAGAGACAATTACCGTGATGAGCATGTGACCCAATACTCCATCGTGAATCTAGAGAGTTGACATACATACAACACATACACAGACACACACGCACATTGACTAATAGGGATGTGGATTTGTATGTTGAATCATTACACTATAATGCAAGCAATCTATCTAATCCAGCCTTTTATATTATGTAACCGCAGTACTTGGCTGTTAGAAGTATTTCCAAGACTATAAAGCTTCCTGGAGCCGAGCCACAAGCTTAAACAGCCTTTCTGCTCTTGACTACTATGTCATTGACAATGCAAACAAAATAAGACAAGTGATTAATGTAAACAATACGTCGCGCTAGTATGCAAGGTACTCATGATGAATGTGTTGTTGTATGAGAATGGCTTTTTTCTTTCTTAGAAATTTCTTTCCAATATTAGGGTGCGTCTTCCGAACCACAGCATTTTGTAAAATGGAAAATACGGCATGTATGTATATATATATATATATATATATATATATATATATATATATTTGTCACCACTCTCTCTCTCTCTCTCTCTCTCTCTTTGTGTATATATATATATATATATATATATATGAAGAAAAATATATGGAAAAAACAAACAAAAATCCTAATATGCAATTATGCTGTTTTAATGTTAATATAATGTCAACGTCGGACGTTTCGGTCTAGTAGACCATCTTCAGGACATATTCATAAGATATAATTAACATTAGACTATATTTAATTCAACATGAAAAGACGATGGACATAAGAGTAAGACTAATCAAAACAGACAACTGAAATTTTATTGAAACGGAACGCTGATCTTGAAAAATTTCAGTTGTCTGTTTCATGAATTAGGAAAAACAAAAAAATCTGTGTACTTACAATATTTTATCCTATATCACAATACACAACCCAAGAAACAGAATCATATAACATTATCCGCAAGAAAACCTCAGTATTAAAACAAGAGTTAAGAATGAAAAAAAACACTCGAAGCACGTTAAAATAACCAAATGCAAAAGACGACAAAAAAACCCTCAAAAAACTACTCAACTGTACCAAATTATCTACTACAAAACCAACACTGTTAAATGTGTGATCGTTGTACTTAACTTTAACTTATTTATCAAAAAAAATTAATATATGCAGTTAAATAAAAGATGTAACGAAGATTACATCGAACAAATCAAAGAAATAATCCATCGCCAACAAATATGAGACCCCACTACAAGATAGATACCACTCGGTGGGCATTTAGACCTAAGTACCACAAATAAATCCCTAACGTCCAACTATCTTTGCCTATACAATACCACAGACCAAACACGAATAAAGAAAAACCTAGGACCAAAGTTTACTTAGGCATGTTTGCCAAGAACTATCCACACAGACAACTATACACATACATCGAAACGTAACATCCTTGTCCATTTTACTAATGGACCATTATTAATATCATTTTTATTAAACCGATAAACCACTATCCCAACAATATGCACAAATAAAAATTCTAGTGACCCTGGCTATTTTCACATTGAACTTTTTAAAATTGCGAGTAAGGTCCAACAAAACAGAACCCCTCAAACATTACTTGAACATTTTATTTACATTATTCGGACTATTGTCCTCATCTTTGTCACCATATTTATTACAACGTTTCGGCCGTTGTACGTCCGGCCTTCTTCAGGTGTTTGGAATGTCGAACTGAACCCTTTATTTCGCTCACTGGGGTAGACTATTCTAGTTGCACGTATCATGTTTAATGGATGTCAGTTATCAGTTATCTCGTGTTAATTTCCTTCTGAAAGTTCTCCACTGCCTTAACCGGGTATTGAACTCACACTCTTTGAGTCCTGTCACTGGATCTAACTAACGCCTTTATCCACTGTGTCATGTTTCCCCGTGTATGAATTTCTGGGTATTATAAACCTAATGTCTTCAGCAACAATTTTTTAGTGCTCCTATTGCATTTTTTTCTGTTATCATTCCATGTTTTTACCAGAGCTCATATTGCGATTTTTGTTGTTATTATCGCTTTTTTCTGGCGCTCATTATTACTGGTTC